ACTGTGTTACCACCAGGTGTTAATATGTTTGTTGTCTGTTTTCATTCCTACATTCACAATATACTACGTTACCACCAGGTGAACGTAGGAATGAAAACAGACAACAAACATATTAACACAATATACTACGTTACCACCAGGTGAACGTAGGAATGAAAACAGACAACAAACATATTAACACAATATACTACGTTACCACCAGGTGAACGTAGGAATGAAAACAGACAACAAACATATTAACACAATATACTATGTTACCATCAGGTGAATGTAGGAATGAAAACAGACAACAAACATATTAACACAATATACTGTATCACCATTAGGTGAAAATAAACAAGATTGACTTTTCTCAATGACTTCTTTGCTGCTTGAACAATAGGAAAATCTTCATTTAAACTCAGAATTTTGACCTAGTACACCAACATGGTTCAGGAAACTCTAATTTTACACAAAACATTAACAAACGGAATTAATATTATGTAAAAGTATAGTAATTACTCAATTAAAAACAACAATCTTATAACAACCAAGTAACATATTTCTATTAGAGTAGAGTTTATGGTTCTGTATAATCATCAGTTTATAAACCTCAAGATATAGAAAACAACTTTCAGAAGGTTCCTACACACATCTGAACAACTGTATACATTATATCATTAAGATATTACATCATTTACCTCATTATATAGTAATTCTTTTCTTGGACCAGGTGGTTCAGCTAAAGAAATCACACAAACAAAACTGTATAATTCAGGAAAAATCCACAGACATGCTAATAATTGTTTAACTTAATTATTTGACAAAATATTAATAATGCATCTGTAGAAATATTCCAAAAATTAGAAAAATACATATAGTTTCATTCTAGTTAAAGTTAGCTTTTGAAAATTTGTTTGATGAAAATAAAAACTACTAACATGTATCACTTTCATAAAATGTGCCTTGATAACATGAAGGTGTATTACTATTGTCTAAAACATCCAAATATGCTGAAAAATGTTGGACTTTGATATTTTGACCCTGATATCTTAATGACTCATGAGCTTAACACTGAAAACAAAGATCACAGAGTAAGCTACTGACCAGAGAGAAGAAAACTAATCAGTAATTCTCACTGCTTACGTAGCTACCCTTATCCAAGTCACGGGACTGCCTGTCGTAGTTAGCATACTGTTCAGTAGATTATGCTTAACCTATTCCACTGTTTTGTGTTAAATAAACATTATCCAAGTAATGGGACTGCCTGTCGCAATTAGCATGCTGTTCAGTAGGATATGATCAACCTATTACACTGTTTTGTATTTAATAAACATGATCCAATCAACCTGAAAAACAAGAAATAAAATAATTAACCAATCTTCTTTTTTTCTTGCAGTTGGGTTTCAAAGAGAGTTAACCCTAACTTTTTATACTATAGGTAGTAATGCACTTAATAATTTTGATTTAATTAAATAATGCACCAAAAAATATAGACTAAACATGCAAAAAGTAGACAAATTCACTTAGCTCTAAAATTTTTCCTCGGTTTCTATAACTATGCGACAAGAGCCATTACAAATTCATCCAAGCTAGTCATTAACTTTCCCATGGGAATGATGTTCGTACTCTGAATGAAATTGAAATTTAATCATTCAGAACAAAACATTATACAATACATCATTTGATAGATGAAAAACCTTGACTTTCTATTAGTTATAGATAATATATAATGAAACAGAAGAGAGAACTATCAACGAATCGTGAAAGAGAGGATGTGACAGGTGGGTGTGGCAGGAGCTCTGTAACCAAACAAAATCGGAGGCTATAAAAATTATAATTCGTTTGAGCAATAATGATTTTATAGAGTATTTTACGTTTAATTTCTTACTTTTTCGAGAGGTGGTGGATAAAATAGGGATGATGGCATGCTCAGAGAAAATGTGTCACATGGGTCACACAAGTGGAAATTCAGGATTTTTTAAAATATTGCATTGTAGAATTAAGAATATAAAACTTGTATACTATTAAAATATGGATTATTAGCTAAGATTTTACACTATTCTAATTGGTATAACAAACAAAAAATAGTTTAAACAATTTTGAATGTAAGACACTAAAACCTCATGTGAAGTAGGAGATACATGAGGCAATAGGGTTAAAGATGGATAATACTTAAGCACTATATAAGTGAAAATAAATTTTCTATGTTACAAATAAGCAAATTATTGACTTTAAAACAAACTATTTAATTTTGTATTCCAAAACCATCACACTGTGATAAATCCTTTTATCCCTATTATGACCAGTGAATATACCTTTTAAGTGCCATGTGCACTTTTAAATTTAAGTAAAAATAATAATTCTACTTCGAATACAACAATTTTTGTTTAAAAAAATTTAAGAATCAATTCATCATTTTTTAAATTTACTTCATACAATTTGCAATAAAAAAAAAAAAAATTCAAATTTCTGTGCCGCTCCAAGGTGTAAATGTAATAATACATTTGTTTTTTTTTCTATAATTTTTTGCTAAAAAACTATCATCCCTTATGAATATATTTATCCAAGTCTTCTTTTTAATGTGGTTACCCTTCTCTTTCACTAGTTTTATTAATCACAGCATTTCTACCCCACCCCTTTTATGATGTCACAGCATGTGATCTGAACAACTTCTTATGAAGTTAAATTTTGAAAACAGCTGAAGAGAGAGTTAAATACCAGTTGCAGCATGTGATCTAAAGTTTAAATACCATTGAGTAGAGCAGATTTTAGATTATTTATCTAATTGTGAGTAATGTAATTAATAGTTTTGTGGGAAGTTATGGTTCAAAATGCCAAAAGTCAGTGTACTGGAAATGATAGGCCTAAAAGTTATCTTAAAAATCAAATTGACTGAGGATGTTTTTTTCCACATTCCTCTTAATTTGTCCATTAGAACTCAAAATCAAAGATGTGTAAAAATAGCATTTCAGATTTATCTTTCGTCTCTCATAAGTCACTGCCCAAGAAGCATTTCATTCAATACCAGAACCTATCAGTTGGGCTGGAAGATAAACCATGCGAGGAATGTAGTTTCCAGCAATAACACATGAAGACTGGTTCTAATCAACACACATTCATCAGTCCAAGTACTCTGTAATGTCATTAAACTTTTCATTTCATAAAAAAAAAAAACATGGTACTTGATAAATTGTAAAGATGAGTGTCTCTATTCATAATAAAAGATTTAAGTAACTACCATGATCAAATAAGAACTGCATTGTCGAGCAACATCAGCTTGGCTAAGTCGACGGCAGATGTTTTCGTCCAATTTAGTTTTATAAAGCTTTAAGTTTGGGAAGTGACTTGCTCTAGGTCACAGATACACACAGTTCTTTATGTGTTTCACTCCAAAAGAAAGTTTGAAACTAACCAAAAATGTGGAGAAAACGCAAGTAGCCTGAAACTCTCTTTTGAGAGATATTATTATTATTATATGTAGCTAAAAACCCATTCACTTCTCTGATAACCCTTTCAACTGTAAAATGCTAAAAACGAGTTAATAAAAAGTGTTAAGCTACTTCCTTGTATCTTTTAAATGAAATATTACAGAATTTAAATGTAATAAACAACTATGAGAACTAATGATTAGATGACTTAAAAGAGTGGAAAAATGAAATTCACCGTTTCTCTGAGGAAAGATACATCAAGAACATTTTTTAGTGTTTCATGAATGGCCCACATGATAAAGTTGTTTGTTTCACTGTTTTACTGAAGATAACTAAGAAGGTAAACAGAAATCCCTACCCTTGACAAGAGATACCATAAGTTCTAAAGCATTTTGAAACCTTTCCATTGCCTCCTCATACTTCTCAGCTTCAACCTTAAAGAAACAAAATGAGATTTTAATCAACTTAACCACTACATTTGATCCTGAGAGTAGCCTAATACAAGCAACAGCTCAAATAGAATCCTCTTTTAATCACAACTTGGTAAACTTAACTAGCCTTAAAGACAATTTTCGTATGCTTATTGGCAAGAATGAATGATTAAAAATTTGACTTTCTGAGATATTATTAAAAATTAAATTCTAAGCTTTGTTTTTTATGTTTCATAAAACTGATTTGGACACATGATCAGAAATAAACACTACTTATGCACAAGAAAATACCAAATACCAAAATGTTTTAAATACATCACAATATTGTTTTTATGTTGACATAAAGCTAATTTTCTAAATACACATACTCTAGCAAATAAGAACATTTACAATATGAGAAGAGGAGGCAATCCTGGTCCAAAACTTGTCATATACCTTATAACAGAAAAAAGAGTGTTAACTTTTGTACCTCTCGGAGGGGTGGTAAATAAGTTAGAGAAGAGAGGTGACCTAGAGAGCAAATGTTACAATTCTCACAGTAGGGTGAGATTGAGGATTGTTTTTAATATTGCCTTATAAAAATAAGAACTTAAAACTTTTATAATATTAAAATTTGGGTTATTAGCTATGTTTTTATGCCAAGTTTATTTACATACCATGATAAAAAAGTAGTTAAATTTTAAATATAACTCAGCAAAACCTCATGACATGTGCAGAAACAGATGTTTGTATGGAACGAGTTAACAACTTTACCATCAGTAAAATTTAAAAAAAATATATATAAAGTGAAATTCATATCAGAAGGAAATCTTAGGAAACCATATAAAAATATTTCATCATTAATTGTGTTGTTGCTCCACAAATACTAACTAAATTCTAGCTATTTAGTACCCCCCCCCTCAATAAGTGTAAGATACTTTTAACATTAACCTAATTTGCAACACACATTAAATATAAAAAGGTAGCTCACACTTAAAAACTGCAAACAAACAGTTATAATATGAAATATCAAATTCATCTAACTGAAATATATTTATTGACATTCGATTCCTAACTGTTTTGATATACATTTCTTTAAAAAATTTAGTTTATTAAATGACATTATATTGGATTTTCTCATTAGCTCAACTTCATAGATGATAATTTTTTATGAAATGACCTAATTTATAAACTTTAAGTACCTAAAACTATCTTACCAAATTTTCAGCTTCCATAACTGTGGCTAGAGCTTGGTCAAGTATTGAATCTTTGATTGACAGTTTTTCTACACAAAGTAAATTTATAAACTTCAGTATAATATTACTCTCAAACTTCTGAAGATAGTAACCATTAAAACTTGTATAAATCAGGAGTAATTATATATATAAAATTTATTTCTGAACACTTCTGTTGCATGTTACAGTTATTGGAATAAAAAATCATGTAAATCAAGTTTAACATTTTTTATTAGATGTTTATAATATTTTGCACGATAAGAAATTAACAAAATAAAAACTGAAAATATCAAGTGGACCATCAGTACAGAAATAATATCAATTATCATTAACTTCTGACTGAAGCAAGCCACCTACAAGGATCAGAACTCAAAATTAACCAAGTAAATAATCTAATATCCTGGTCTAACTAGGAGTTTTCAATGACATAAAACAAAAACTTGAAATTATTAGCTCATCAGTTGTCTACCGCTTCTGTTACCAATATTTGTGGCTGTAATTTCAATACTATCTTACTAAGTTTAGCCAACTTAAATTTGTTCTAACTCTAAATACTAAGCTAACAATGAAAAATAATCTTCATAATAAAAAATATATATCATAAGTAAATAAAAAGTAACAAAAATAAATATATTAAATATATCAAATGTTTTAACCAATACTGTTAATGAAACTAATATTAAAGAGATAATGGAATATTACTTATGAGACACATAAAAATTAGTTGTTTCATGCATTATTGACAATTCTACGTCACACATGAAAAGTGTGACACTAGTAAATGCAAAACTTAACATAATCCCCCCCCTTACAACATCCAGTGACTATTGAAAGCCACTAAACTGTTTTGATATGTAACTTTAGCTTAGTTTAACATCTCAGATAAATGGCTAAAACAAATTACTGTTACATACAACTTTAAATTCTACATACATCAGTAATTCCATAATCAACAGCTCTGTGAAATTAGTTTCATTTCTGAAAAGACTTTAAATTAAAAAGATAAATATTTCAATGTAGACAAAGTACTATTTAGAATTCTTACCAAGATCTGCTGCCATATTTACAGGGAAACCCAACCCTCGGCTAGGTTGGATGATGTCTTTCAAGATCTCAGCTCTTTCCATATATTCTTTTAACTAATTTGAAAGAGATACTTGTTTATGTTTAGTACACATTTACATAGCAGAACAAAGCTCCATGTTATGTGCAATGTATTTGCTGTTTAAGCATGGGCACCTGCAGGAAGGGGCAAGAGGGGACATTTGCCCCCTTACATTTCACAAAACATTGCACTATTATGATGTAAACTCAACATCGTAGTTAAACTAAATATGTTTAGTAATTTTTATTAAAACTGTAAATACGCGTTTACGTCTAAGCACACATAATGCATACTCTTTTAGTCTGTTGACTTACGCTGTAAAAGCTGATCCCCTACATACGTTTACCCCCCCCCCCCCTTCTGTGGGCACCCATGTGTTTAAGTAAAATATACCCAATTTGTTATAGTTAATAGAAATTTTTAAACTTCAAACAGTATTTCCATATTAATATGAAACCCTGGGTTCATATATTCTCATTGTGTTATATTATCTATTATGAATTCATGAATACATGCAGGTTTCACGTAACATGTGGTCAACAAAACCATTAAGTTCATCTTGTTTCAAGTTACATTTTGTTCTTAAAGTTAAGTGTATCTTATTCCTGCTTATGGAGAACATCGCTTAATGAGACCTTAAGTTGATAATGTCCTACAATGGTTGTTCAATTAATAAATTGAGGTTAATGTTTCAAGTATGTATCAGGAAAATAACTTGTCACGTGGTAGCACCAGTTCAACAGTATAAATACAAGATTTCTTTAAACCTAAAGGAAGTGAACATGAAATGGAAACAAGCCTAGGTAAGGCAAGTCCTTAGTCCAGCAAATAGGTATAAACACTACATTTATGTTGAGTGATTTATTAAAGATTGTTCATTATAACTTATCACATTTTGTTCAGTCTCAGTTAGTAATCATTTTTAATATTACTCCATAATTTCATATCTTAAATAAACCTTATATTTAGTAGATTTATCCTGTGAAACTAAAATATTATTTCAGTTCACCTGAATAAAGAAACCTAACAATATTTCCAAAGCTAAGAAATTTTGTAAGTTTGGTAATACACAAACCAATTAATATTAAGTGCACTTCTTTGTTATTGTTACCATCAACCTCAAGATCGACTTAAACATTGCACATAGTTAGGACTGTTGGCTCTTCAACCTTCCCACTCTTGGCAACAAATAAAAGTGACTTTTGTGTTATCTTAAACACCATAAACTTTTTAGGTATCATTTTATGCAAAAACCTCGGAACAAGATTTGTAGCCCAACGATGTGCGATCACATACTATTAAACGATACTCAAGTTCTGAGAGATTGTTAAACGAACAGAAAAATGCATCTCAATTTCTGTATTAACGTTGACAAAATAGGTATTATTCTTACAAACGGGGAGGGGAAAGTGTCTTCCCAACATCACACTATATGTCAGACCATTCTGATTGGACAAAGTCTCTAACAAATCTTGCAGTATTATTATAATTTCATTTCTTTTACTACAAAAGCATTACTATTTCAATATTATAAACTACATAAACCTAGTTATCTTAACTCTTTAAAAATTCATTACAAGAAATATCAAACTGACCTTCAGCCTCAACACCTCTTTCTTTTTTAAATCTTCCTCAGCTACATAAAAATAAACAGTAAAAAAACAATATTTTGATCTTTGTGTATTCATATACTGAGTAGCATACAATAAAGTTAACATGCAATTTAAAAAGTCGGAATCTGATTTATCAATTCGTTAGGCCCATCGTGTACGACAGAAGGAAGAAAGCAAACCAAATAAAAAGTTTGAACCCTGTTTTATTAAATGAAGTTACATTTGAAAAGAGGGAAATTAATTAACAATGGTTATTTTTCAATCAATAATCCTGGATTATTTTTGATAAAAAATTAAACCAATGCTACATCTGACATCTACATTTTAAAAAAGGAACTAAAGTGAAAAAACTATATTTAAATAGCTCTAATATACCTTCTGGTCAATAGACAATGACCTATTTTTCTCAAAATAGTGTTGGTGAACACACTAAACAAAAATACAGTTTAATGAGCTTTTCGTACCAAATATTCTATTATAACTCCACACTGTGCTATCATATTTGTTCTAATCTACTCTACTACAATCTTGTAGTCAGGTAAACGTAGACATTAGGTTACAATCATATAAACACAAAAAGAAAAAACTCAACAGATGCCAGAAATCACAGTTCCAACTAAAAAAATAACAGTTGTTAAAATAAAAGCAGTTAATCTTTGATTTTTCAACTTTTTTTATGTTTGACAGTCTGCTTCAATGGTTGGGGGTATAAAGCAATCAGAAATGTAATGTTGACAAAAAATGGTTAATATTGACACAAAGTTATGTAAACAGATGAAAGAACCATGCATGCATTCACAGGATTTATAAGCATACAAAATTCAGACTATGAAGAAGATAGGTACTTAAATTAAGTAAGCATTAAGTTTTTTCTAGATAAAAATTAGAATTTTTAATGTGTGTTTTTTATAGCAAAGCCACATCAGGCTATCTGCTGTGTCCATCGAGAGGAAATGAAGAATTTTTAATGTGTGTTTTTTATAGCAAAGCCACATCAGGCTATCTGCTGTGTCCATCGAGAGGAAATGAAGAATTTTTAATGTGTGTGTGTTTTTTATAGCAAAGCCACATCAGGCTATCTGCTGTGTCCATCAAGAGGAAATGAAGAATTTTTAATGAAGTATTTTCATTAAATATTTCTTCATGAATAGATGAGTCAAAGTGTTGATTGCTCCAAGTGCAAAGTGATTTTCATGTTAAGATCAAAAACAGTTTTTGCATCTGAAAGTTGTCAAATTTCATTTACTTAATCTCTAAAACCTCTTAAATAAATTTCAGACGTTTTTTTTTCCAGCAAAACTTAAAATTTTATCTGTTACTTTCTCTACCCTAACTCTGTACAAGGTTGGTCAAATTGATCAACCTTGTAACCACCATGAAAAATATGAAATAAATCTAAATTACCTTTTTTCTTTCTAGAATGACTTCAAATTGTAACTTGAAACTCTACTGGTTTATCCTAAATAACTTAAAACACATAATACTTTATACATTTCTACATGTTATTGTTTTATTGCCCTTTGAACTTTCTATTTGTTACAAATGATATAGTATTAAATGTCAGAGAGAACTATTAGCGATACGTGAAAGAAAGAATGTGACAGGTGAGTATGACAAGAGTGGTCAGATTTTCTATTCTATGGCTCTGTGACCAAATAAGATTGAAGGCTATAAAATGTATGCTTAGCCTGGATGATAACAATATTATAATAAGTAATTTACATTAAAAGCCATACTCCTCTAAGGGGTGGTAAATAAAATAGAAGATACCTAGAGAGCAAATGTCACAATTATCATACTAGGATGAGATTGAGGATGTTTTAAAAATATTACCTTATAATCATTAAGAACTTAAAACTTATATAATATTAAAAGTTGATTTATTAACTACATTTTTATGTCAAGTTTATTTATATACCATGATAATAAAGTAGTTTAATTAAATTTTGAATGTAACTCTCCAAAAAAGTTGTGTCATGCACACTTTGACTTGCAAGAGGGTTACTATTTAAACTGTACTAAAATTATCTAAATAATGCTTCAAACAAAAGTAAAGTTAGCACTTGAAATTATGCAGAAAATTCGAGAAATACAACTTATACAAATAGTTTTGATTCTTACAAGATACATAAGGCTAAAGTTATTTTTCCTTGCTTATTAGCTAGTACTTTTTTTTCTTCTCCTTCATTATTTATTTCAATTTGGGGGCTATTTTTACTAACTTTTTGCTAATTGCAAGTTTTATTGCTGTTTATAACATTTAAAAGTCATATTCATAAGTTTTCAACATGTTCTTATTGTATTTGTAACATTTACTATGTTGAAAACAAATTAAATAAACTTCTTGAAAATCTAAAAATGGTTTTAAAAAAATGAAATTGTAGTTGTAAAAGAATAAGTGGAAGAAGCCTTGAATTAAGTTCTCTCTCTCTCTCTCTCACATACACACATATATATATATATATTAGGAAATTATCTAATTACTACCTACCATGAAGGACAGGAACAAGATATTGTAGGCCTTCACAATACAACCTTACCGCCTCCGTGTAGTGACCACTTGTGTCCTTCAATACAGCTTGTTGTACAAGTTCTACCTGAAGATAACACACCCACGTTTTGAATAGTTTTGTTATTTATGATCTCCTTATGTTTTAAACATGAAAGATAAAGTGTAGTGTAAACCAGGTATTACCCTGAACACTATTACTACTTCTTTTCATGCAGAATGGTCTGGTTTGACCAAATATACAAACAAACAAATCAACTACAGTAACCTATTTTAATAATTGTCTTGTCCTTGTGTTTTATACCTACTGTATTTTTTACTTTATAAGTTAAAGTAAAAATATATCTTTGTGATTATTCAAAACTGAACACCACGAGTACAGGAACATTTGATTACAAATTAGTAAACACTAGACAAAGACTCCAGAGTAATTTTTATTACTTTATATCAAAGCTTCTAATTTCTAATTGCCTTTTACATGTAATTACTAATTTAACACTTCAATCATATCATCAATTTTATTTAATTTCTCCATTTTATAGTTTTCAAATTAATAACAAGCACAATATAATTTTAACAAACCATCAGTGCTAACTCACATGTAACTAGAAGATATCACTCCCAGCTAGGCCTAATATTAACTTTCACCACTAACCACATGTAATCAGAAAATGGAGCTGCAAGCTAAGCCTTATGTTAACTTTCTTCAGTGCAAGTGGCACTGCCAGCTAAGCCTAATGTTAACTTTCCTTTAAGAACCATCCAATTTTCATCATAAAAGCTTTAAAAAATTCACTTTTAGCATGTCAAATTACGCTCAAATTAAATTTCCTTATAACAGTTCTTTTAAGGTTCATAACAATACTTCAAGAAGATATAGTAAACTTTAAACTATGTCTTAATATTCATCCTAACTTACTCCTCTTTTATAAGATTCAAGACAGGGCATATGCTGAAGATCCAAGAAAGGGTGATCAAAAAATTCTTCAAATGTGATACGTTTGTCAGGATCTCTTTGAAGCAATTGGAGCACCAAATGTCTACAGGTATCTGAAATTTCCACACCATATGGAATCTAATAAAAACAAGTATATAATTCTAAATTTATATTTTCAAACATGTATACAAGTAGTTTAGCAAATCATTATGGTATTCCTAATAGACAATACATCACTTTATACTTCAGGATACAAAATAACAGTCACTTATCAGTTAAAAACCAAATACTTTTCCCCATTTATTACGTATTCTTAGTCATGTTGAACTATCAATAATAATGAAGAATACTCAATTTTTTTTTTGCAATTTACCATAAAACTACATTTAAGTAGTGAGCTCAGGTTAAAATATAACGCTGAAATTTGAAAATATTTACAGACCATTAGTACCGAGAAAGAACAGTTAAACTGATTATACATCAAATCATAACAAAAATGAAAAATTGAAATTAAGTTAGACCCTCAAAGAAATCATACATTCCTTGTTGTAACCAATAGAGATGTATACCTGACAACCCTCTGATAACTTGCAGCAACTAAACCACTGGCAACAAATAGCTGAACAAGAAACTCACTTTGTTCACTCTGAAGCACTTTTATAACAGTCTGTCTGCTTGATTCTTGAAACATAGTTTTCTGATGTTATTTATATAAAAGTAAATATAGTCTAAGCATTAAACAAACATATAATATTTAATATTAAGACCATTTAATACTATAATGATGTTTTAAGTTGCAGTTAAAGTTGGTTATTAGGAATATTTTAAAAAACAAGCTTGTACTTTAGGATTCTCCATGCATCTAGTGTGAAACTTCAAGTGGATTTACATTTTGATATAAACACCAACTGAATAATCTAGTCCCTTAATGATTTCATACCTCCATGTCATGTTTTACTATATAAATCAACTTAGACGTATACCTCACACAAAAATTATGCATCCTGTGAATGTTTCGCTGTTTTATACAGACACCGACTCGACACAAATATGTTGTTTTCAATAGAATGACATTTCTCACACACAACCATTAGCTCTTCCTTACTTTGTTTTCAATACCTTGTGATAGTTTTATCAAGTTACTGCTTAAATAAAAATAAAGTTTAATTCTGGTCTGTTTTATATCTTCTGATTGGCTCAAAATAAATAATATTATCAAATAAAAAATAATTAATAAAAGTTCTACTATAAGAATTATTGTTATTAACTTAGGTTGTCATAATATGTTAAATGACAACAAATTTTACACTTAAAATAGGAGTTGTCAAAAAATCAAGTGTCAGCAAGTTAAAATACAAATTACAAATCCAGTGCTGTTTTACGTTAATGGTATATAATATATTTGTACCAATGAAAGGATAATAGAAACTGATGAAGTTTAAAAACAGTGTACTTGTAACATAAGGCCTATCTTACTATAAGTTATGTTCAATCTACTGATACACTTTACTGACATGTATAGCTGACATTTTATAACTTATCAACAAGTGTAGTGCAAATAAGCCACACAAGTACAATTCAAAATTACTGACACTTAAATGTAAAGTAGAATACAAATTTTTAACGATTCCAGCCCAGTTCAAGGCTTAATTTAAACAAGAGAATGTATGTTGTAAATATATTTAAAGTAAAACACCCTTCATTTGACCTAAAAGTTTTGACTATGGATTGTAACTTGGACCTTTAAGCAAATGTGTATTTTTGTTACCTTATTAAATATAACATTAGTGCTGTTATATTCTTGTATAATTATTAAAACCCAAAAATCTAGATTGAAAAATTGCTTTCAAATTAGTGCAGAACTTGATTTCAATAAATATGAGTGACAAAAAAACTTTGTTTAAACAAGATAGCTTCTTAGAACAAATGTATATAAATATTCAGATGTACAGAAGTAACATAAGAGTAACATAACATAACTCAAATTAATAATGGTAAATAACAATACTGTAAGTTAAATAATTTTACTGTAAGAAGTATAATATCACACATATGCATACATGCAGTGTGTGTGTGTGTGTGTGTGTGTGTGTGTGTGTGTGTGTGTGTGTGGTTATTGTAAGTAACTGATAAACAGTATTGTCCTGAAAAAATGTCTTGCTGTAACAAAAAAATGAAATATCACATATATCTGAAACAACATGGTGGTATATGTAATACTGTTATACACTAAAGTTTTCTTAAAAAAAAGATAACATTACACAGGTAACAGCAGTAAACAATAAAATGAAGCACGCATTCACATTTTTCATATATGTAAACAGAAAACATTTTTACAAGTTTTGGTTGTAAACACAACATTATCGACTGAAGAACCTTATCACAAGAAAAAGTTTAATACCCATTTATATATTAAATGAAAAGATAAACAATCGAGATGCAAAAGAAAAAACAAACAAACAAGTCAATAAGTTGGCAGTTAAAATTTTCTTAAACTGAACATGTATTTCCGAATAGATATTTATCTCCTCACAAAAACCTTCCTGCAAAAATATTTCACTCGCCACTAGCCTTGTAACCTCCACTTCTTTTTTTGCATATCTATATGCAAATGATCATGCAACAACCCTCCACCAATAGGAGTGTGACTCTACCCCCATTGTAACTAGCACCCTCTCTAATAATGCACTTGTTAACCTCTTTGAGACTGGCCATGACCAAGTCAACCAAGACACCTCAAAGCACTCACTACACCCGAAAAACTAGAGGATCCAAAGAATATTCTGACAGGATTCTCCCGATGGGGTAATCTTTGGATCAGCAACCAGATTCATGGCCTCCAGCCAATGACATGACCACAAATCGATATAATGACAGTGGGCCAAAAATACAGAAGATCCAAAGTCCTAAAACAAAGGACACTCAGATAGATTCTTCCACGTATGGTGATGAAGGACCCTACCGTAAAACTGTCAGAGTGAAATTACATCACTGTTTCCCAAAGAGCCAGAAGGAAGGAAAGTACTGTACAAAGAACAGTAAGAAGTGTCAAAAGAATTATATGGCGAACAGTCAAGAAATGCTTCCCAAGTGGAAAAAGAAGCATCTGGAAAAAAGTGACAATCTGGATGAAAAGGAAGAGGAACCCAAGCAGCAACAGTGGTCCTATCCAACCAATAGTCAATCAGAGTCCATAAATTCACAGACAAATCTTTAATAAAAATACTTGATAAAAAAAATCTGATATTTCGTGCACAAAAGACTTGTAATATTTACTGAGAGGCAAATTTCATGAATATACAAAAGTTCTACATTAAAAGTTACAGTTTGTATAGTTTCATGGCTACATGATGTTAACAAAAGTTTGGTCAAAATGACCAAGCTCCTATACAGAGAGTTAGAATAATAAAACAATATTCTTACAACATTAATTAAGAAATATACTATATTACAGTTACAGCTTTTACAGAAGTAAGATTTGATTTTAGAACAAGTACGATGTTTCAATCACTGGTGCGATCATTGTCTAGTAAAACAGTTTTAACATCATACCTGTTCTAGAAACAAATCATACTGAAAAAGCTATAACTGTAGCATAATATTATTAATCAATAAGTAAACTCAAAACGAAACTATTAATTAATTAAGAAATGAAAAATTTGATTCATTAGTTACATAATTTACCTGTATTGGCTTAGTACTTTTGATTTTTTCTGCTAGTTCTGCAAATGAACCAGATGAAAATGGAGCTTGTCCAAATAAACATTCTAAAAGAAAAAGATCATAACCAAAAACATATAGAAATATTAGTGGTCATGAACTTTAAGTATAATATTTGTTTCAAAACATCCAATGGATATAAAAAAAAACTAAAACATTCTTTTGAGTATGTTTCACAAATGTCAGAACTGATTAAGTTTCATACGTCATTTTATGAAAATAAGAAAAAACAAAATTCACTCCAACTCATTGAATTTTATTACCATGAACTCTGCCTAGAAAATTATTATTCTAGACTAACCTACACTATTAAAAAATGCAATTTACCAGAACACAAGAACTCAATATATAAATAAAAAAGTCAACAAGGAACCTACCATATAAAATTATACCAACTGACCAAAGGTCAACTCTGGCATCATAACGCCGATTCAATAAAATCTCTGGAGCCATGTATAGAGGTGAGCCTCGAAGAGAGGTACCCTCTGTTTCTGGTTGAAGGTATTGAGCAAAGCCAAAGTCTACATTATTAGAAAAAGAAAAAAAAATGTTTTTCAGCAACTTTTCCTCTACAATGAAGGTAAAAAAAAACCCTTCAGGTAACAGTAATCATTAAACATCTAGAGATAAACCTGTTACGTTGATGTGTTATCCTTGTCATGTATAGAGGTGAGCCTCGAAGAGAGGTACCCTCTGTTTCTGGTTGAAGGTATTGAGCAAAGCCAAAGTCTACATTATTAGAAAAAGAAAAAAAATGTTTTTCAGCAACTTTTCCTCTACAATGAAGGTAAAAAAAAAAACCTTCAGGCAACAGTAATCATTAAACATCTAGAGATAAACCTGTTACGTTCATGTGTTATCCTTGTTTCTTGCCATCTCCCCAATTTGCAAAATAGAATTATGCAAGCGTTCTTTCTAGGGTTAAATAGCAAAATACTAAAAACTGCTGGAGGTATATTCATGATATTAAAGTTTTTACACATATAATCAGATTTACAAATGTGAAGAGTAAAAATTAAACGTGATATTTAGTCTCAATAACGAAAGTTGTTTTTAATATCTTGATTGCAACAAGCTCCATTAACCCTATTTTACAGTAGAATTTAAGATTTAGTACACTTTTAAGATAAAAATATCTGTGAACCACAGTTTATTACGTACTTTAAAATAAAAATAAAATTTAAAATATTATTTGAAAAGCTGAACAAAAGGTGTTATAAATGACAGGGACCAATGTACACGTGTGTACTCAAGGACAAACATATATAAATAGCTATACACCTAATCATATCTTAATATACACAAAAACATCTAATGTAGCTTTCAAAGTATGATCTATTAACACTGAATGTGGGCTTCATCATTTTGACTGAGTAATCACAATGTAACCATTAATCTATACATAACTCTTAATGTACTAGATGTACCTTCACAAAATATGGCAAGCTTTTAGTAAACATTGCAAATCTGTTGTTACAAAAAATTAATTTTTTAATCAAGTATTTTTACTAAAGATTTGACGGTCCCATCATGTCTGAGTGAATGGTGATTTTCATACTAAGAATAAAAAATATTTTTTTTATCTCAGAGTTTCATATTTGATTTGTATAACTTTTTACTTTACTATTATTTTTTCTACTCTATCCTACCTGTAGCAAAAATTGAAAAACGTATGAAATAAAATCACAAATAATTTATTTCTAGAATGACTGCAGATTATAACAAACAATTAAAATTACTTAAGAGTTTTATATTTCTCAACTATTTCACATCTGCTTTTATTTAATTTTATCGCTCTTTGAATCGCATTTAACTATTGCAACAGGCAGCGTATCGCTCAGCAAGAGTGTGACAGTTTAGGATAAGTAAAATTTCGGGTTACATCATACAGTGTCATATATCCCTTGAAAAGTAGCCAATAGAACTTCTTTTATTTTATTTTTTTTTCAGTTTTTGTGTATAATTTAACATTTAATTTTTAGTTACTTTTGTTCAATAATACATAATGATAAACCAAAAATATATATATGTAAAAAATCATGAAATTTAACACTTACCTTAGCTCTAGACCAGCTTGTGCTTGGGTCCCTGTATTCATTAAACTTTTTTTTATAACTATGCTCATTGTTAAAAAATAATCCATGCATTATTCAAGTATGCTTTTTACGACACAAAAAATTACATAACGTCCCAAAACTACCATAATTTACCTGGCTCTCTAACTAAGGTTAAGTAATTTTCATTATTCCCTGAAGCACTGACTTTGGTCTACACAAGCATCAAGATCAACTAGTGAAATAGCAGTTTTCACCAGAATATCATCAAAATCATGTAGTTCACAAAATAGTATTTTTATTGGTTATAAACATGTATCACAGACAAGTAGGCATGACAAATAAGTGATTACAAAAGCATGAAGAGTTGGGAGCAGCTTCCATGGTGGGTGTAACATATTTATTGATATCTCAGGAAATAAAGGTGGTGGAAGATTATTTTATTTTCTGACCTGTCAATACCTACAGTTTGTATATCTGAAATCCATATAACAGAAGAAAGAAAATCTAGAAAGGAGAATTCTGAGTACAGAAGGTCACATGGCACAGAAAAGTGAAGAAAGAGAGTTTACTAAAACATAGACAATATGCAAATCTGAATTATAAACTACATTTTGATACCAAATTTATGAACTTTCAAGATATAAAAGACTGTTTGGTTTAGATATTATTGATTAATTTATTTT